GGATCTTGCAGCATCAGATTCCTCTTGTGCAGAATCATTATGGCAAGAATTCTGTATTTTTACTACAGCTCTCCAGAGAGGAGTGAGCAATTTCTACAAGGTCCCACCTGCTCGATGCCAATTCCAAATCTACAACTGCACTTTGAGGCTTAACAGCTGGTTAAAAACACGTTTCCCCTTACTCCAGAAATACCAACTACAGCACACTTTAACCTGACATGTTAAGAAGAATCTATAAATATTTTGTTCCAAATATATTTCAATTATGAAAAGTCATGACAAGAAAACATCTCTTCCTGCACTTTGGCTAGCTGATCTCCACTCCGTTGGTGAAGCATTGGAACAGGCTGCCCAGGGAGATGGTGGAGTCATCATCCCTGGAGGTGTTAAAAAAAGGTGCAGACGTGGTACTGCAGGATATGGTTTAGTAGTCATGGTAGTGTTGGGTTTATGGCTGGATGATCTTAGAGGTCTTTTCCAACCTTAATGATTCTACAAGTCTGTAAGACTTCATCTTCCCCTGGGTTCAGTCTCTCACAACTATTCCCAGAGACAAGGGCAAAGGAATTACACTGCAAAGCAGGACTATGGCAGGAGGTACACCCTGTTAGCACTTAGTTATCTTCAAAGTATCTTTGTGTACTTATACCCCACCTGCAAAACCAGAAATGCCACAAGGGCTGCTGTGAGGCTTCATTCATTAAATGCTTGGAAAGTATTTTAAGACCCTCAAAACAAGGACAATATATAGCTCAAGAGAGTGGGAAATACATGCAGTGTCACTAACTTTACTTTCAATAACCATGGTATTCTGAAAGACAAAACCCCACACCTCATTCAACAGGAATGCACTAAAGAGAGGAAGATGTCTCCAATTATAAAATCCCTAATTCTGAAAAAGGCATCCAAAAAATTTGTTTCCTTCGTGCACACTTTGGCACCTTTCTCTTGTCTCCTTATGATCCAGCTCTTCTCACCACTGGAAAGAATTCCTATGAATGGTGGTATAGGAGGTCTTTAAGTAAGGAAAGAATAAGCTCATAGTTTTGGTTTTCTATCCCATACAGAATACTTCGTGCAGTAAACAGCTGTCAAACAGAAATCTACTGAGTAACAAGGTACTGACCAATGTGTGAAATCATACCACCTCCTTATTGGGTACATTTAATTTTAGCTGAAACTGAACAAAGGAAACATGGATTTACAGAGAAACTTACCTTAAAAAAATAAAACTCAAATGAACAATGCCATCACAATCCTCAAGTACAGCCCTGCCCTTTTATCAGCGTTGCATGAAGACCTCTCACATCCATGGAGGCAAAAGGGACACATTTACCCAGTGTTACAAGCTCAGTATCAAGGCACAGATGTTCTTTCTGGCTTTCACAAAGAATTGCTGAACTGCTGAAAAGTGCCTTTGAACAAGACAGGGATGAAGATATAGTGCAGGCAGTCTGTGCAGCACGTACAGTCAGGGGAGACCAGTTCCTAGACAATATTATGCTTGAAGGTAACTTTGAAAGGATGTCAAAGAATTCAATCTCAGCAACATTCATAAATTTCATCAGACTGACTTAGAAGGGTTTGAAACATGGAAGAAAATCTTATATCAAGTAGGGTGTCAAAAGCCAGTGAAAGTGAAGTACTAGTACCTATGCTGGTCATATGATTGTCTAGACATCACAACACCTAAGAATGTTTTTATTTCTAAAGCATCATACTACACATCAACAGGTAGAAAAAATTTTAATTCATTAACTTATCAGACAGTCAGGCTTTTGCTGATCATCATCTCCTGCAGTCTTAAGGACACTTAGTGTGAGCAGTTCTGGTTTCTATTCCTCGAATATGACCCAGGAGAGAAAGAGTATTCTGACCACCAAAACAAAACAAAAAAATTCATCAAATTAAGAAAGCAATAAATGTGCAAGACTTTACCCAGGGGAAAAAAACTCCATGTTCTTAAACGTGAAAGTCTAAACTTTGTCAAGGCTAGAAGTCAGGAAACAGAGAGAGCCTTGGAGGTAAAAGCAAGGCAGGGTGGAGCAGAAGCAATAAGCTCTACTACTTCCACCATGATATGCACTTGCCACTTTTCCTGGCACAAAACTGTGCACTTCCCTATGTCACTGAATCTTGCTTACCTGCTTCATAAACTGCTGTGAATTTTATACAGTAGAAGAAGAAACTCACAGCTGCAGATAAAAAACACTAAATAGCCAATAAATTGCTCTGTTCCTTTACTCAGCTAGTCAAAAGCTTCCTAAGAAATAATGTCATGGGGAAACATTTCATACAAATAAGCAGTTCTCATGGGGTTTCTCTACACTGGCTTTAAATCTCATCCAGATTTCTCTCAAGAGCCTTAAGGATGCTCGTACAGTAAGCATCTTCTTTCTTCCCAGCAACTGCTGGCTGGCAGTTTTTCAATATTTTGTGAACTATTGCAATTTTTGTAAAGATATTTTTTCTTTTAAGCATTTTGAGTCCTCCTGGTGGCACTTCAAAAGTCAAAGGCCATTTGATTCACCCACAATTCGTTAAGACACTGTGGGAAAGCAGGAATCTGAGGAGGCAACAGAAGGAAAACTAAGGGGAAGCCAGGCTTGCTCTGCAACTTGCCCAGTGGGAGAAGGAGATACATCCTTGAAATACAAGTAGCAGCCACCTCTCAAGTGCTTGAGAACTGAACAGCACAAACAGTCACATCTCCATCCAGATAATGACAATGGAGAATACTTTCCATGCAATCCACACACTCAACAGCATGCCACCAAGCAGGAGAAAGTCTGGATTATTTATAGCTCACACACAGTTGCATGCCAGACCTTTGGTGACTCAAATCCTTCACGAGCACTGCTCCATACTCTGTGCCCAGCACCACAGATCTTACATAGCTTACATTATTTAGCTAGTCATACAGCTGACTGGTTAATTCTTCCATATTGAGTTGACAGCCCACAAAGGCTAGACACTAGTTTTGGAAAAATTATTTTTCTTTGAAAGATGCTTATTCTAGTTTGAAGTAAAATTGGAATTAAGACTACATGCAAATATTTTTGATGTCTTCATACTGTTCTACTTTAGTGTATGCTTATATTCTGTTTTCAGGGGCTTTTAAAAAACAAAGTACACAAAAACATACTCGAATGAGTGAACTGGGGAGAAAGCATGGTAGGTTTCAAATGGTTATGACTACTGTCAGCTGTGGCCACACAAAATATTTGCAAATAATCTAAAAAAAAAACCCACAAAACCAACCAATGACCCCCCCTTAAGATAGCTCTTTAGTGATTTGATTTTTATATCTGACACAGACTCTCACACCAGTTTAGGGAACCAATGTTAAATTATCTGGTTTGTGCTTAAAGAAAGAAGTAATACAGATACAATTAGTGGGCTAACAGGCAGCTCTAATCAAAGCCTCAGTGGTACCAAGCCCTGGAGCTACTGATCTTGAAAGACTCATGCAGACCATGTCCAAATCCTGTAATTGTCCAACGCACAACTCCACAGTCAGTATCTGTGGGATGCTGGAAGTGACTGGACTGCTGTTAACCATAGCTACAATTAGACCATCAATGCCACACAATCAAAAACTGGAGTTCAGCAAGCCCTGCCCTCCTTCCCCCAGGCATCCTCACAAATTTCATTACCATACCTGACATTCCACATTGCAGTAAAAGGCCTGTTTACATCTTCCACACTTGGACAATCCTTCCTTCCTTGAAAGGAAAAAAGAAGTTATTCTAGTCTATGAATCTGAATGAAATACAAATGTATCTTGTATCACTTTTTGCACAGCATTTTGCATTTCACAACAAAAAACTTATTTTCTACAGAACACAGCTACAGCTTGAACCCCATCCTTTGATAGCAGGCACTATTTTTATTTGTTTAGAGTTTCAAAAGCAAGTTTTTCCTAACAGTTGTTATTATGCAAAAGCACTCTGCTGTCCTGATAAATTGCTGGGTTTGAAAACATGTTATTCTGTGCTAATTGACAACATAATTTTTTTTGTCACTGTATGCTGCATACTGATAGCTAACTTTTTGTTCTCCAAACTTCCCAGTTACTCACCCACATTAACCCTTTGCTTCTGCTCCCTCAGTTCCATTGCTACTCTGCCTGGTTACAGGAAGCAAGACCATTGTTTCATGAGTAACCACTTCCCAACACCAAGAAAACATGCTGCATTATTAAATACAGTGATCTCCTGTCACCACAGAGCCTCTTACTGCCCTGCTAATGTCTGCTCTGGTATAGGCATATTCTAAGGTGACCTAAGCCTCATGCTCTCCTTTTTTTTTTTT